ATAAGTGTATATTCTCTATATATAAATATTTTAGATGAATAGATACAAATATATTTTATATTTATTCATTAATATATTTTAAAATGTATAATTGTACGTAATATTATTAATATTTTTTAAACAAATCATTAATCAGAAAATAAATACATTATTTAAAACATCATATGGGATCAAAAACTGAATAACTAAAACCAAAATAGCTGGAAGGTTAGTAAACTGACGTTACGCCGGTGTATCCTCTCTTGCAGCTGCAGATGAAGGCGTTCCCGATGGGTTTACACACACCGCTGTTCTGACACGGGTTTGGCATACAGACGCTGATCTCGGTCTCACAGCGCCCTCCGGTGTACAGAGCGCTGCAACTACACGAATAACCTGAGAGAGAGAGAGAGAGAGAGAGGGAGAGAGAGAGAGAGAGAGAGAGAGAGAGACTGTTTGTTCATGAACTGCAACACAATCGCGCAGACACACGCTCACACGCCGGTCTGAAATAGCGTGGAAAATGTCAGTGAGTAAAGTGCGATGGTTTTATCAGGTCTCCCCACAAACACAAACAAACACAAACACGTCTGCCAGACACTCCTGCACAAACGACCTTTACAAAGAGGAGGAGTACGGCAACACCGCAACTCCCACAACACACTGCTCCATTCATCAGAGCCAGCGAGAGAGAGACGACGAGACGAAGAGATGAGAAGAAGGGAAACAAGACTAGATTAGATGAAGAATGGAGAAAAACAGAAAAGAGGTCGAGACGGGACTAAAGAAGAAACTAAAAGAGGAGAAGAGACGAAGCGAGGCGAAACAAGAAAAAGACAAGATGGTGATAACAGATGAGAGGTCTAAAGGAGAAATAGAAGAGTAGAGACAAAGAGAGAAGAGATAACTGAGATGAAATGAGACATTAATAGATAAGAAGAGACAAAGAGGAAAGAGACGAGAAGGGAAGCAAGACAAAATAGATGAGAAAAGTAATAGATGAGAAGAGAAGAGACTTGAATAATAGACGAGAAGGGGCAAAGAGAGAAGAGGAGAAGAAAAGAGTAAAAAGATGAGAGGACATGAGACGAGATGCGAAAACGATACAAGAGGAAAGACAAGATTAGGAGAAAGGAGGTGAGACCAGAAGAGACAAACAAACTAAATTAGAAGATAAGATAAAAAAACAGAGACATGAATAGATAAGAAGAGACGAGATTCGAGGCGAAAGTAATTGATAGGTGAGACCAGAAGAGACAAACAAACTAAATGAGAAGATAAGATAAAAAACAGAGACATGAATAGATAAGAAGAGACGAGATTCGAGGAGAAAGTAATTGACGAGAAGAGACTAGGTGAAAACATGGCATGAGAAGACAGTATGATGTGAAGAAAAGAGAAGGGGGACGACCAAAAGAGATGAGAAGAAATGTGAGAGAAAACACGAGGAGAGAACAGAAGATGGGATGAGATGTACTAGAGAGCATGTGGAAAGCAGGCGCTGATTTAATCATCACAATTGGTCATTTGGTCTCCATCAGACGCAGTAGATGTGAATTAGAGCTTCACTCGGCAGACAGAAGCTAAGCTGATTTGACTTAAGCCAGAACTGAGCAAAGCTTATTAACCAGAGTAATTACATCACAGAAGCAGATACACACACAGACACACACACACACACACCTCCAGACGGCAGGCTGACGCAGGTGGCGCCGTTGAGGCAGGGCTGAGCGGCACACGCGTCCGGATAGAGAACGCATCCCAGCTTGAGATCCGTCAGTCCCACCACCTCCGCATACGGGCTGCGTTTGTTCTGCAGCGGGAGTTCGTTGTCATTCAGAACCACCGAGTCTAAACAGCCCTGAAAGCCGTTGGTGACCCACGGACCCTTTCTTTCCGTCAAGCTACGGGCGTCCGGAGGCGACACCTGCGCTCCGAAATAAATGGACAAATCTGCTCCCAGAGGTCGGTATTTAGTCGTGGCCAGTCGCCGCTCCACGTACATGTCGTCTAGCGAAAGGCTGCTGTAGTTTCCTCGCAGCTCCAGGACCACGTGATGCCAGTTCCCGTCATTGACCGGACGGCCGGAGATCCCGATGCTCCTGGGACTGTTGCCGCAATCCAACTGGAACCACAGCTTTCCCTCCTCGATCTGTCAATCAAATGCAGATACAGTCTGTATTGAATCTGATGGATTACAAAGATCACTTTGTGAAATAATGGCATGCAAAGCAAACATATAGCAATTCCCTAAACCAGAGATTCTTAAACTTGTGTCATTCAAACTCCTTTTTACCTCAAATATTAACATACAACTTTTCGTCCCCCCTGAGATTTGAAGCTAATTTTTCAATAATTTATCAACAGATTTGCACGTTCATGGTACATTTATTGTAGTTTTTTATTTTGATTATTTAATTAATTATTAGCTTTTCATCAACACACAACCCCCGGCATTTCCTTCACACACCCCAGTTTGGGAAACTCTGCCCTAAATGAATTACTCTTATGAGTCGGTTCCTTTAATGAATAGTTCAAAGACGTATTTGGATCAGTCTAAAAAACGATTCTGTATAATTTAAAGCATTAGCAGAGAGTTTAAATGTAAGAATATGTAAGCAAATTTAAATGTATGAATATGTAAGCAAAACATGATAGCTAAAATATACCAAAATGAATCAGAATTGAATCAAATGTAATCAAACTGAGAGTTTGTGAATCAGAATAGAATCAAATGAGGAAAATTGTATCAATAACTTAGCTTCAACAAGTTTTTTTTTTTTTTACACAAAAGCTCCAAAACCATTTAAAAGATCCAACACTTTCTGCTAAATAGTCAAAACAATATGTATTACTATTATTGTCATCATGTCATCAATAATGTAAAACAAATACTACAATACTGTACAATACTTCTAGATACATCTAGAATAAATCAATTTATTTACCACAAACAAATAAATAAATCTAGTCTGGTATATATATATATATATAGAGAGAGAGAGAGAGAGAGAGAGAGAGAGAAATTTTAGAAATTATTTACTTTCTATCCAAAGAATCCTGAAAAAAATGTATCATGGTTTCCACAAAAACATTAATCAATACAACTGTTTTCAACATTATTATTAATAATAATAATAATAAAGGTTTCTTGCGCATTAAATCAGCATATTAGAATGATTTCTGAAGGATCATGTGATATTGAAGACTGGAGTAATGATGCTGAAAATTCAGCTTTGCTCACCGGAATAAATGACATAGAAAAATATATTCAAACAAGAAAACAATTATTATTAATTATTATTAAATTATTATTAAATTATTAACACATTATAAATTATAATAATGTTTCATATTACTGCTGTTTTACTATATTTTAGATCAAGTAAATGCAGCCTTGGTGAGCAGCAAAGACTTTAAACTTTTGACTGGTAGTGTTCACGCCTAAACCTCTCAAAATGTTTTTTTTTTTAAAGATTTCATAATGTCTTTTCACTTCCTTTCCATGTTAAAAAGTCATTATAACAAAGTATATGAAGGCTATAAGTGTGTTTTATGGTGTGTACCTTCAGCACGCTGCACGGATCTGTACGTGTGAACATAATGATTCCCTTGCTCTGGAGCGTTCTGATGCGGAGCGCTAACTTCATCTCTCCGCTCCTCACACACACACACAAAACATCAGTCACTAGAAAGGAAACGGCTCATATTTTAAGAAGGTGCCACATTATATATCACACATAAAGAGCTTTCATACAGGGTTATATGTTACCTGCACACTCTCCCAGTTTGCCCTGCGGACACTGGCACGTGTACGGCCCCCTGCTGCTGTCCGTTCCCACACACTGCATGTCACCGGGACATCTCATATCCGCACACATCTCCGACGCAGCAGAACAACTCCCGTCTGACAGAAAGAGAGGGAGAAATTACTACCGCAAAACAAACAGGCTCTGGTTATAGTGGTGTACTGTGATAATACTGACCACAAATATTTTTCCTAATTTCAATGATGTGTTTCTGTTCCTGCTGTTTATGAGTGCAAGGACGTGGCCCGTGTTCAAGAGTGTCATTGTGTAAGTGCATGTTTAATAGGCGGCTTATGTAAAGGCTGTTCACACTACGCTTAACCCTGGGTTAATGTCTTTTAAAGATGGGGTTTTAACCTTGTGTGCAGGAAAGTTTTACATGTGTAATTTTGATTAGGTTAGAACTGCTTTTGTATACAGTGAGAATCAACACAGTGCTAGAATGTCGTGGCGATTTGTTTAGAAACTGCCTCATGATTCACTCGTTAAATATTTATTCCAAAACATCGTTTTTTAAATTTTGTGATGGAAACGGTTTAATGGTTCACATAGTCAAACAGCACCATGTAATTGATGAAGAGACTCGTGGCAATATTTCCACACATTAACATAACAATAGTGTTTGTCCAACCAACAGGCCTCGTTTACTATTTTTTTCTTTGCACAAAACCTGTGTTTACACATTTACATGAAGAAATCATGATTCATTAAATTTCCTAAAACTATACTAAAGAATCTTAAATTTTGCCAAAATGTCTATTTCTAAATTGTTGTTAGAAACAAAATGACTAATGACAAAATGATTATTTTCAAGTAACAAAAATTAAAAAGCTTGACTGGTTATATGTCAATGACAATGCATACAAAATGCACATTTATCAACAGTATAATAAAGGTAAAAACTTTTTCTAAACAAAAATTTATGTTAATTTTATTTGTGTATTTATTCACAACTTAAGCACAATTATTGAATGAGACTCAATATTATAAACACATATAAATATGTAAACATAAATGTTCATCAAAATTCCAAAAATGCCACGGGATAACTTAAAAGTATTTAAATAAATCAATTATTATTAATATATTAAAATACTCTAACTCCAACTTAAATTAAAATTTAAATCAAGATGTAAACTGACATATTCTGTTTTCCACCCCTTAATAACATACTTGTTGAAACGTCAAGAATTACAAATTGAATTGTGGTTAATTAAATATCAGTACAGTTTCTATAAAAAATTCTATTAAAATAAACAAATAAATTCTAATATTACAATTCTATTAATTTAATCGAGAAATAAATTATATTCTTTAATGGTTCACATAGTCAAACATCACCATGCAATTGATGGAGAGACAAAAATTCTAATTAGTAAAATTCTATTAGTTAAATATATAAATGAATAAACAATTTTTTTGGTCATAATTACAGCAGAAATGCCATGAATATAATAGTCTATATGCATGGATAGTGTGTTCCTCTTTTGTCATTCATTTTGGATAAAAGCATCAAACTGTGCTGGAAAACAGGGGCTTTTGAATGAAAAATGTTGAGAACACCTGGTTTAAAATGATCCTGGGTCAACAATTTGTTCAGACACAGACACACTCACCGCTGCAAACGCATCGCGTGTTCCTGTGGAACTTGGCTGACACGAAGCTGGTTTTGGTGGAGCTGTATGTGAGCAGACTGTGCGAGTCCAGTGTGATGGTTTGTTCACACTGGGCCTCCCTGCAGTCCAGACCCGAGCAGTTCTTATCCAGCACAGCTGAGACTCTCAGAACCTGGTCCAGTTGCCGGCGCGCCGAGCTCAGCTTCTGCGTCACCAGCGCCGCCTTGTAGAACCCGCCGCCTTCCGCTGTCTCCACGACAACCAGCAGATCCAGCTGCCCCGTGGACTCCACCGGCTGCACACTGAGCACGTGCAGAGCGTCAGGCCGCGGTGTCACCATCACGCTGGACAGGACGCGTCTGACCGAGGGGAGGTGACGGGACACGAAGTCGTGAGGGGAGACGCGGTCGAAACGGATGGTCACGGCATCGTGGAGCATCTCAGCCGAGGCCTGCTCTACATGCACGCTCACCGGCACGTTCACAGTGAAGCGGCCGTCTGTTACTGTAGCGTTGAAGCTGTAGCGGCCCGCGTCCAAGCCGCTCAGAGCGATGATGCGACCGTCTCGAGGACTCACCTGCGAGAGAAAAAGATGGACACGTCAAAAAACACAATAAGATTTCACAAAAATTTTGATTCACCCTGTGAACTCAAAATTAGAGTTTTGTTGATTTTTGATAATGTCTG